TCTTATATGATCCCTACTAACATTTCTCCTATATCTCTTCTGCCCTTTATGGCCAAACCCTTTGAAAAGGCTAAGGCTGCCTACAATAGGCACTTTCACTTTCCCTCTTCTCACTCTCTTCATAACCCCTTACAATCCCACTTGTGACCTCATCATTCCACCAAAACTGTTCTCTCCAAGTTACCAGTGATCTCTTAGTTGCTAAACCCAATGGCCCTTCTCAATCCTCATTCTCCTCGACTTCTCTGTAGCCTTTGACACCGTGGGTCACTCTCTCTTCCTTGATACTCTCTTCTCTCTAGGTTTTAAGGACACCACTCTCTCCTGGTTCTTCTACCTATCTCATTGCTTCCCCCCACCCTTGCCCCCCTGCTCCTTTGCCATATTCTGCACCAGATCATGCCTTCTAACCCTCAGCCTTCTCTTCTCCTATACTATTTCACTTAGTGATCTCATCAGTTTCCACAGGTTTAATCACCATCTCTATGCTAATGATTCTCAAATCTACCTCTCCTGCCCCAATCTCTCTGCTGAGTTCCAATCTCTCATTTCCAACTGCCTTTCAGACATCTCAAACTGGATGTCCAGTAGACATCTTAAACTCAATATGCCCAAAGTCTTTCCTCCTAAACCCTTCCCACCTCCTACCTTCCCTGTTACTGTGGAGGACAACACCATCCTCCCAGTCTCTCAAGCTCCCAACCTAGGAGTCATCCAGGACTCCTCACTGTCTCTCACCCCCATTTCCAAGCTGTTGCCAAGGCCTGTCAATTTCACCTCTGCAACATCTCTTGAATATTCCTCCTTCTTCCTTCTGACACTGGCCTTACTCTGGTGAAGACCCTCATCACCTCACATCTGAACTATTTCAATAGCCTGCTTGGGTAGGGGGGAAATCTGCCTGCCTCAGGTCTCTCCCCACTCCAATCTATCCTTCATTCAGCCACCAAAGTGATTTTCCTAAACTTCAGGTCCTACCATGTCACTCCCCCCTATTCAATAAATTCCTGCGGCTCCCTATTGCCTGCAGGGGCAAATACAAAATGATCTATTTGGCATTCAAAAACCTTCATAACCTGGCCCCCTCCTACATTTCCAGCCTTCATATACCTTACCCCCCCACATATACTCTTTGACTGGCCTCCTTGTCGGTTCTGTAAACAAGACCCTCATCTCCAGACACTTTCTCTGGCTGTCCCCGTACCTGGAATGCTGATTCTCCTCCATTCACAGTACTGACCTCTTTGGCTTCCTTTAAGTCACAACTGAAATTCCACCTTCTACAAGAAGCCTTCCCTAAACTCTCTTTATTCTATTGCCTTCCCTTGGTTAACTGTTTCCTGTTTATCCTGTATAGAGCTTGCTTTGTATATATTTGTTTGCATTTTGTCTCTCCCATTAGATTATAAACTCCTTGAGGGCAGGGACCCTCTTGTATCTTTTTTTTTTAAGCCCCAGCACTTAGAACAAGCCTAGAACAAAATAAGCACTTAATAAATGTTTATTGATTGATTACAAGTGTTTCCTTTCTCTTTCTTTTATTTGTTCAGTTTTTGTTTTCTTAAGAAAGGGGCTTAAGTAGGGTTAGGGCCAGCCCTCAGAAAACCCAGAAAAAGGAATGAAGCTTTTTTTTTTAGGCAATCAGGGTTAAGTGACTTGCCCAGGGTCACATAGCTAGTAAGTGTCTGAGGCCAGATTCAAACTCAGGTCCTCCTGGTACTCTAACCACTGTGCCATCTAGCTGCCCCTGTCACCTCTGTTTTCTAGCCCTCCAATACATCCTGCTCCCTCTCTTCCCCACTGCAATTCAGGCTCTGTTCTGAGACCCATCCTCTTAGGAGTCAATAGCCCTGCCTCAGTCTGGGCCAAAGGCATTCCCCTCCCCCCCATCTTGCTTCCCAAAGAATCTCAGATCCACAGAACATTCCAAACCCTCAGACTGACAGATTAAGAGTGGGAAGGGACCTCTCAGGTCACCTAGCCCAGCCCTCTCTTTTTACAGCTGAAGACACTGAGGCCCAGGGAGGTGGTCTAACCCACCCAGGGTCACACAGGTAAAATGGAGCAGTAGGGACCCCAAATCAAACAGTCTCTCCACCTCACCATGGTGCCTCAAACCATTGCCTTGATTCATTGCCAGATGTGTGGGACTTAGAGGGACAAAGACAGCTGGGATTCCCTCTTCCATCTGGTTGCCATGCCTCTTAGGCCCTGGCAGTTCCCAGGCCCTGTTGAGGAGACCACAGGCAACATGCTGCTGCTAGTGTTAACATATGGGCAGATCAGAGGAACATTTCTCGCTAACTGGGCCTGGGGAGCTGGGTTCCTGAGTCCCAGATTCCACAGCTCCCAAAGCGGCCCTTCTGGAGCTGGAGCTGTTCCTCTGGCTTGGCTCAGTGGGGTGGTCAGCCTCATTCTGGGTAGGGGCCAGGAAAGGCCAGGCATGAGACACCAAACAGCTGGTCCAGTAGAGATAAGGCTCTAGGGACCTGAGAGTCAAGGGATTCATTATCTTAGCCCTGACTTTGACAGGGTGATATGGCAAAGGGAACTCGGTTTGAAGAAGGGAGTTCAATTCAAATGCTTCCTCTTCCACTAACTCCCCATGTGACTTTGGGCAAGTGACTTCTTTGCTCTTGGAACAAACCCTGGATTTGGGTTGAAAGGATGTGGGTTCTAATCCTGCTCCCATCATTTAGATCTTAAGCAAGCTTCTCTGGGCCTCAATTTCCTCTCCTAGATGACCTCAGGCTCCTTCTAGTTCAAAATGTAGGATTCTACAATTCTACCACTGGCTTGCAGTATGACCTTGGGCAAGTCCCTTCCCTTTTCTGAATCTCAGCCAGGTAGATTGACCAGGTAGATAGATAATCAGGAAGGCCTGGGCTCAAATCCAGCCTTAGACACTTACTAGCAGTGTGACCCTGAGCAAGTCACTTAACCATTGTCTGCCTTCATTTCCCCAATTGTAAAAATGGAGATACTAATAGCTCTTACCTCTCAGGGTTGTTGTGAAGATATCAAATGAGATAATACTTGTAAATATCATATCCTATCCAATGAGATAATATGTGTAAAGCATTTAGCACAGTTAGTAAATGATTTTTCCCTTCCTTATGCTTGTAATGGGAATTTGTCACCTGCTCTTATCTCCTAAACCAGGGGACCCATTAAGATATCATGGCCATGAAAGGGCCTCGAGAAGGCCCCTACACATTCATATCGATGGTGGCTGACATTCACACATCATTTTGTCCTGTCCTAGAAGCCCAAAGGCAGCTCCCCGTCCTGGCTGACTCTCAGGCGTTCACTGGACTCTGAGATTTCCACTCTGGCAAGAAAGTGAACTCAGCCCTCATTCACTTGGAGTCTAGAATGCAGCTGTGGTGAAGTCAACAAAGGGCTGGGCCTGGAGTCAGGAAGCTCTAAGTTAAAATCCAGCCTTATAGATACTTACTTGCTGTGTGTCCCTGGGCAAATCACTTCATCTCAGTTTGCCTCAGTTTCCTCAACTGTAAAAGGGGGACAACAATAGCATCTACCTCAAACGAGATCATATTTATAAAAGTGGTTAGCATGGTGCCTGGCACATAGTAGGAGGTATAAAAATGCATATTCCCCCCTTCTAGGGAAACTTTCCCTCAGCTGTTTTCCCTCCAAGATTATCTTGCATTTACATATTATATATAATACACATGTACAGTCCTTCATTAGACTATAAACTCCTTGAGGGCAAGGATTGTTTTGTTTTTGCCTTTGTACAGCACTTAATAGAGTGCCTAGCACATAGTAGATAATAAATGTTTGCTATCAATAAGTTGTTTCTTTGCAGCAGCTCTTGCTACATAGTAGAAGCTTGATAAATGTTTGTCAATTGGCTGATAAAGTAATTAAAGGGAAAAGTCCTCCCCAGCAGAAGGTCTATAGCTCTACTCCTATTTACAAAAGGGGGTGGGGAGTGGAGATATCGCACAAATGGTAAGGCCTGGTCTTCCAGTCAGGAGACCTGGGTTCCAGTCTGCCACAAACTTAGGTGTGGGACATTCCCCAAATGTCTTTTCCCTCTCTGACCCTAAGTTTCCTCATCTGTAAAATGAGTGGCTAGGCTCCCTTCTAACAAATTAAATTCCGACAAAGATATATCTAAGAGAGCCCCATGCTCAGCGCTTGAGATAGAAAGGTAGATCAAACATAGAGCCTGACCTCCAGGGGCTTACAGTCTGATTAGGGGAGGGCTAGAAGACAAGCTCACAAATAACTCTGGTAGAAACAGTTAAGCTAGAACTCAGGTAGAAACTGCAATATCGCAGGTCCAAGAGTATAGACAGGCATGAATGAGATAAGAGAAGCCTAGGACAAAGTGTGAGGAGAGATGGGAGAAATCACTTTCACCAGGTAGAAGCAGTAAAATCTTCTGAAGGAGGGGCCTAGGCAGATGGGCTTGAAGATAAAGAGTCCTTTCCAGGTCCAGAAACAGACCCAGAGAGGAAGATAAGAATGATTAAGAGTCATTTAGTTTGGCTTGGGATATAGGAGATAAGTTGGAATCACCTTGGAAGGCCAACATGAGACGTTCCATTTTCTAAGCATTTCCTCACTCCCACTTCTTCCAGCTCTGCCATTCCATGTCTGAGGGTCTAAGGCCCCTCTGGACTCAGACATTCTGGGTCCTAAGGACCCTCCCAGATCTGACATCCTGTGTTCTAAGGCCCCTCTGGACACAGACATTCTGTGTTCTAAGGCCCCTCCCCAGCTCTGACATTCATTGTCAGATTTAGGCATAGCCATCCTTTGCTGAGGTTGCCATTACCATCAAACAACTGGCAGAGATGCAGTGGGCACCCCTCCCTACACATACACACACACATCCTTGGAGGTAATAGGCAACAGGTTCCCTGGAAAAGTAGAGGACGCAGAGTCCCAGACTAGTCCTTCGTGTGCAAGAGTCCCCCTCCCCCCATAGAAGGCAATCCAGGTCTTCCTCTTTGGCCTGGTCTTACCTCCAGGGGTGCAGGGTCAGTAATGGGCTGCAGGGGCTAGCTGGACTGCATGGGCTCAGCAGGGTCGCGCTCTGGTTACTTGGAGACAAACTGCAATTAAGAGGGACCAGAGCCTTATGATTCTCTCCCAGGGCCAGGTACCCCCTGCCCTGCTAGCTCCCCACATCCTGGCTGGTTGTGAAGTGGCAGATGAGAGATGTGAGGGAAGGGGAAAAGAGAGATATCAAGGCTGGGTCCCCAGAGGACCTGGTCCAATCCGCTAAGAACCGGCTGGGCAAGGGGGCGCTCGGGAGTCAAGAGAAAGGTTCATCTCAGGCCAGGAGGCAGGGAAGGGCGCTGCTGAGGACTGGGGAGCAGAAACCTCTCCCTCAAACTGCCCCAAATTCCCCGAGGGAAAGTACCGCCTCCTTGGTTCCTTCAGGAGGCTCAGGGATCATTAGGAAGACATAGACTGGGAGGCTATGGATTCGTGGAGAAGGGGAGTTTGGAATACCCCAAGAAGAGGCGAAATCACGGACCTTCTCCGTGCCCCCATCAACCCTAAAGGGCCCAGCTCAAGTCTCCTAGCAACCTGAAACAGTGGCCAGGACTAGGATCTCCAGAATCCCCCTAGCCAGCCAACTCTCACCCGAGGGGCCAGCACTCTCGTGCACAGGGCTTCACCAGCCCCACCTCCCTCAAAACTGCTGCCGCCGCCGCCGCCTCCGGACAGCCCCCCAGGCTACTCACTCCAAAGTCAGGGCCGGGATGTTCAGCTTGTCCCGCCGGGATTTCATGGCTACGGGAGGGGGCTAAGAGTGTGGGGGAAGAAGGGAAGGCCGGTGGCCTCTCTCCTTCCTGAGCTGTCAATCCGCCTGTCCCCACGGCGGAGGGAGGGAGAGGGAGGAGGAGGTGGGAGTGGAGGGGGGGGCGGTCCCAGGCGCGGATCCCCAACAGAAGCCCGGCGAAGGCCTCCACGCTGCGCCGCGCCCGCCCCCTCTACGCGCGCGTCACTCCCTGCACCTCCTCCAGGGAGTCCGCCCCGCGTGCACAACTGGGCCCTCAGAACCCTGAGCCCTCCCGGGAGAAGAGAAGCTGGCCCTTTGGAGTCGGGGGTCCAGTTGGAAAAGGGGACTTGACCTAAAGAGGGGCCTTTAGAAGAGGGGCCAGATGCCAGGTAAGGGGCTGGCCAGAATACGGACCTGTTCCAGGGAGGGGTTTACAATGGTGGGGGGAGCCAGCTGGGAGGCGGGGCAGAATAGGGACCTGCCCCAAGGAGGGGCTCAGAATGGGGGGAAGGCTAGATAGGAAAGGGAGGGAGCAGAAAAGGGAATTGCCCCAAGGAAGGACAATGGTGGGGGGAGCCAGGTGGAAGGCTGGGCAGAATAGGGACTTGTCCCAGGGTGGGGCTAATAATAAGGGGACCAACTGGGAGGGAGGGGGACACAGGATAGAGCTGGTTTCCGTGGAAGGGGGTACTACTCAGTATAGTACCTCCTCAAGCAGAATGGTATTCTCCTTAATAATAATAGCTGATATTAATATAGTAGTTTAAGGTTTGTTTACAAAATGCTTTTTGTATGGCGAGGAAAACGCCCTCTACTAATGTGGTTAAGTCTTAGTGGCTAGGGCGCTGAGAGGCCCAGGTCACCCAGCCTGTGTCAGAAGTGGCGCCTGAACTCGGGTTCTTCTTGGCTGAAGGCTGGCATTCTGTCCAAGCCGCCTCTCAGAGATGAGTACTACTGATGCGATTCCCCCCATTTCTCAGAGGAGGAAGAAGCTCAGTCTTCGAGAGGTTAAGTGAGCTGCCTGTGGCTACACTGTTAGTATGAGTCAGGGCAGGGTTCAAACCCAGATCTCTTATGATTCCAAAGTCCAGTGTTCTTTACAGGCTCCAGAGCTACCTGGGGGAGGGGGGAAGGAATATGAATGATTTATCCCCAAAAATCCACCCAAGAGGCCTGTGGTATCTCCAAGGAGCCAGGCCACCAAGGCTGGCTGCCGTCGCTCAAAGTCTGGGACCCAGTACCGCCACGCTCTAGACACACTGGAGGTCTGCAAATATGCTGGGGTGGCAGGATGGGACCAGGCTGTCCTGTCTCATTGACTCTCATGTGATCCTGGCACTTGGCCCCACCTTGCTTCTTAAAGAGATTAGCCTCCCAGGGTCTCGGTGAAGCTCAAGGAGTAAGTGCCCATCCCAACCTGGCCCAGGTCCAAGGGTCTGGGAAGGAAGCAAGGTGCGTCCTGGTCTCCCTCGCCAGCCCTGACATTTCAAGGGAGAACAGCCATCTGCTGCTTTGCCAGAACCTAGCACTGCCTCGTCCCAAATCAAGGCTGCCCAAGAGTGAACCCAAGAGGTCTTCATTCAGAGACAGCTGTCCCTCCTCCTACCCCATCCCAACTCCCCAGGTTCTATGTCATCTCCCCAGGGCCTGCTCTCTGAACCCAGACTATCAGAGCTGGGGGCAGGGGGCTTAGGACACAGAATGTAAGAGCTGGATGGGGGTAACCTTAGAATGCAGAATGTCAGAGCTGGGAGGGCCCTTAGAGCACAGAACATGGAATATAAGACCTGGATGACCTCTGAGCCCAACCCTCTCCTTTTGAGGAGGAAACAGAGGCCCAGGATGGCTGAGGCATTTGGTCTAGGTCACATAAAGAGTCAGTGGTAGGATGAGGAGTCCAGCTCTGCAGAGAGTAGTAGAAAAAAGCCTAAGCTGGGATTCAGGAAGCCTGGGTCCTAGCCCCAGCTCCCCCACTCACTCTATACGTATCAAAAGGTAAATCATGTTCCCTCTCAGGGTTGAAACTTCCCCACCTGTAGGCATCATAGGCTCGTAGATTTCGGGATCTCAGTGGCCATATAGTCCAACCTGTCATTTTACAGAGGAGGAAACTGAGGCCCAGGGAATTTAATATAACCATGTATGTCCTAGCCCTCTCACAGGATTGCTGTGAGGATCACATGAGAAGTGAACCACAAGGCATCATTTCGCTGTTATCCTACAAGCTCTGTGGAGGCAGGGGACTGGGATCTATCTATCTGTTTTCTTGCCCATCTCAATACATGTTGCAAGAATGAATACATGAATGCATGATCATCCTTGCAGGAGGCTACTGTAAACAATGCCTTGTCGCCATGAACAGAATCTAAGGGGTGGTCAGAGGTGGGGTTAGGTCAGTCAACAAGCCTTTATTAAGCACTTACTAAGTGCCAGGTGCTATGCTAAGCACTGGGGATACACATACTGGAAAGAGAGTTTTTCAATTGGAGCCTACTTGCCCTAAGATGCCCTGAGTACAGAAACAGTGGAAGGTTCCCCCACCCCATCCACAAGAGTCACACAGTGCTGAGCTGCTATTCCTTGATTCCCCACTAGGGGCCACTCATTGACACAACACAATAGGAAAGCTTGGATCTCAATTATTTTTCCCTTCTATCTTGTATCCCTGGTGTCAAGCACAGCGCCTTGTACACACTAGATGCCTGATAAACGCATGTTGAATTCAATTCAATTCATAGAGGCCACAGTGGAAAAGTACCTTAGAGACTCTTTGGTATAGAGCTCCCATTTTACAGATTAGGAAACTGAGGCCTAGAGAGAAGAAGGTGGTTTGTACTCAAGCCTTCATCTCTCCTGGGGCCAGGTAGGGAGCTCTTGGTAAGTCCTGAATTTTGGTTCCCCCTTCCTAACTCCCTCGTTGTTTGCCATGTCCCTACTTGTCAAGACTCCCTGTGTCCCCCCCAAAAACAACATTCCCTGTCCCCCTTCCCAGGAAAAGTCCCAGGCTACTTCACAGGAGACTTCTAGAGGCAGCACCCCCCTCCCCCGGGAGCCTGCCTTCAAGGGTGGGGTTTCTGGCTTCAGGCCAAGACACAGTTTGGGGGTGGGAGGACATTTAGGTACTGGTGTCCCCCCAAATCTGTCTTGTCTTGTCTTTCTGTCTTTCTTTCTTTCTTTCTTCAATTGGGGTTAAGTGACTTGCCCAGAGTCACACAGCTAGGAAGTGTTAATGTGTCTGAGGCTGGATTTGAACTCAGGTCCTCCTGACTCCAGGGCCAGTGCTCTATCCACTGAGCCACCTAGCTGCCCCCAAATCTGTCTTTTGTTTTTGTTTTCCAAAACCCTATGCCCCAGACTGGACAGCAGTGGCCCAGGGCCAGGAGTCCCTTTCCTCCCTTCTCTCCTGGACCCTCCTCCTCTTCTTCCTTTCTGTATCATCCTTTCCCTTGCAGATACACACACTGCTAGAGCTAGAAGGGACCTGAGAGCTCACACAGAGCATCCCCGTTGTTCTTTAAAGAAAGAAACTGAGGCCCAGAGAGGCTTAGCCCAAGTCACACTGCGAGTGAGTGACAGAGCTGGGTCCCAAACCTAGGCTGCCTCTTCTTCTTCCTTCCTCCCCAGCAGCCTTTGGAGGTAGGAGGAACTTTAAGACTTTGGGGTCCAACTCTTTCATTTTATAGAATTGGTAAACTGAGGTCCAGAGACAGGAAGTGATTTGTCCAAGGTCCTACAGTAAATCAGGGATAGAAGGAAGCTCAGAGAAGACCACTAACCCAGAACGTGACCTTGGGAAAATCTCCTTCTCTGCTAGTGCCTCTAAGGTCTCCTTCTACCTGCTTTGTATCTATCTTCTGTATACACCTGTATATGTACATGTTGTCTCTTCCTCTACTTCCACCCCCTTAGAATGTAAGCTTTTGGACAGCTCTTGGCACAGTGGATAGAGCACTGGCTCTGAAGTCAGGAGGACCTGAGTTCAAATCTGGCCTCAGACACATAACACTCACTAGCTGTGTGACTCCAGGCAAGTCACTTAACCCCAATTGCCTCACAAAAAAAGAAAAAGAAAGAAAAAAGAAAAGAAAAGAATGTAAGGTCTCTGAGGCCAGGCATTATTTCACTCTTGTCTTTGTATTGCCAACACTTAGCCCAGTTCTTGGCACTTGGTAGGTGCTAATGCAGATGGTGTCCTCTCTTCCCCCTTCTTTTTCCTCTGCTTTTGTCCCTTCTCCCCTACCTTCACCCTAATCTGCCAGTGCTTCTACTACCTAAGGAGGCTGTCAAGGTACAGAGGTTCCAGACCTTGGTCAGAACCCGGCCCTACCTCACAAGGGCTATCAGCCATCTCAGGTACTTACGCCCTTCCCCGTCGAGGCAAGCTGAGTTCCTTCTGCAATGAAAAAAGGAGAGCAGGTCAGACTAGGGGAACTGCAGGCAGATGCCAGGGGCCAGAGGTGGCCCAAGGGGCCCATTCCCCACCTCACCCGCAGTTTCCTAGAGTCAAGAATGGAACTCGGGGGATCCTAACTCCTGGTCCAGGTCTTTTCCCACAAACCATGACAAAAATAACAGTGATTCCTTATCTGTAAGAATAACTTTCCTTATAATTGTCCTAGGGGAATTAGCATGCCCATTATACAGAGGAGGAAACTGAGGCCCCAGGAGGAAGAAGAGAACAGTGAATCAGTGATAGGGCTGGAACTAGAACCCAAACCTAGCAATCTTCATGCACAGGCTTTTCTATTGAATAACTTGGAGGGGGAAGGGTTAAGAGGACACAGAGAGGGCAAGGAACAGGGAAGGGGCCAGGGATCACACTTTCCCCCTCCATGTTCTCCAAATACTAGGAGAGCTTAGAAAAGCTGTCCAAAAGGGAGTACTGGCTGCCTCCAGAGATGGTGAGCTTCCCAGTCCCTGCAGGGGTTTTCTAAAGGAGACTTCCAAGCAGATATGGGTAAGATTCTATGTCCTCTTAGGTCCCTTCTAGTTGTGAGATTTGATGAGAGGTAGTGTGGTGGCCATGGCAAGGAATCTGGCTTTGTACTGCAAGGACCCAGAGTCTAATCCTGGTCTGACTACTTTAGCCATAATCACGGGAGCTGAAAGCTGCCATTGCGTTCCACCCCCTCATCTTACAGAGTAGGAAACTGAGGCTGATTCACCCAGGGTCAAATAGTAGTAAGTGTCCATGGCAGGATTCAAAAGGCAAGAAGGACCCTTTGACCCAGCAATAGCACTTCTAGGTCTGTATCCCAAAGAGATCATACAAATGGGAACAGGACCCACATGTACAAAAATATGTATGGCAGCTCTTTTGTGGTGGCCAAGAATTGGAAACTGAGGGGATGCCCATCAATTGGGGAATGGCTGAACAAGTTGCGGTATATACATGTAATGGAATACTATTGTGCTATAAGAAATGATGAGCAAACGGACTTCAGAAAAACCTGGAAAGACTTGTATGGACTGATGCTGAGTGAAGTGAGCAGAACCAGGAGAACGTTGTACCTAGTAACAGCTACATTGTGCAATGACTAAGGTTGATAGACATAGCTTTTCTCAGCAGTGCAAGGATATGTGGCAATTCCAAAAGACTCATGATGGAAAATGCTATCCACATCCAGAAAAAGAACTATGGAGCCTGAATGCAGATGGAAGCATGCTATTTGCTCTCCTTTTCTTTTGTAGTTTTGTTTTATTTCTTCTTTCTTGTGGTTTCTCTCATTAGTTCTAATTCTTCTTTACATCATAACTAATGTGAAAATATGCTTAATATGAATGTGTAAGTAGAGCCTGTTATCAGATTACATGCCTTCTTAGGGAAGGGGGAGGAGAGGGAGGGAGAGAAAATGTAAAACTCCAAATCTAATGGCAGTGAATGTTGAAAACTAAAAATAAATTATTAGAAATTTTTTTTGTTTGAAAAAAAGGCAAGTTCTTCTTCATTCTAAGCTTAGCTGCAAAGGACCTTAGAGACTGTCTAATATAACCACCTAAAGGGGGAAACTGAGGCATAGGTAGGGGAATCAGCCAGCTCAAAGCCTAGCACAATGCCTTGCATGTAGAAGGTCCTTCATAAATGTTTACTGAATTGAAGGCTTTCCTGGTCCCCCCAGCTGCTCTGCCTTCTTTTCCAGGGCCACCTTAGAGAATATTTGCTTTGTATGTGTTCATATATACTGACATACAGCAGTGTGCTGGTAAATGTTTAACAACCAGCCCTCTGGGAAAAGAAATGGATGCAGGGCATACGTTTAAATTTAATCTGCAGTATTAACATTTTTTCTATCACTCTCTTCTTAAGTCTAGACATTCAACAAACAGTAAAACAAGTTTACTGATTCTGGAGGTGTAAAAGCTCACCATACAAACTGAACAATCAACTCCAATTTCAAGTGGATCTGACAAGCGTGCGCGAGTGCGCGAGTGCGCGTCCCTGAGTGTGTACTCATGAGGTCTGCCTCTTTAAAATGTAAGTTCCTTGAAAGCAGGGACTTGCACTTTTTTCTTTATACTCTCCGAACCCCGCACAATACTTGGCACGCAGCAGGTGCCTCATAAATGCTTGTTGCTTGACTGACTGAATGCCTAACCCGGAGACCTTTGCCAGCTGCGCCAGAGGCAGAGGCAGGCACAAGCATGTTTTTGTGTTTCTTTGTGTACCACCTTACGGCTAACACACGCTTACTGACTGCTTGACCACACTGCCTTGGGCAAGTCTCAAAGCCTGGGGGCAAAAAATGCTCGTTAAATTGACTGAAGAACAGACTGAACTGAATGATCTCTAAGACCTTCGGGAGCCCTCAGCTTCTAGGATTCTGTCCTTGTTAGCTCTAAAGCCTATAATCACGTTATGATTGTTTGAGAGAGCAGTCACATCCAGCTGCTGGGGGGCCTGGGGAGGCTTCCAGGACAAGGTAGCTTTGGAACCAGGCCTGGAAGGATTAGGAAGCTTTTGACAGGTGGAGATGGGGGGGAGGTGGGGAGAAAGGGGAAGTTCATTCCAGGTGAGAAAACAGCTTGTGTTCTGTAGGAATTCCCCTGGCTTGCCAGGCCCTCACTCCCTGCTCTCCCACGATTTCCCCCACAGGGACAGGACACATGGTTGATGGGGGAAGGAGGTGTTCCTACCACCCTCTCCCCCCACACCCCAGGGCCCCAGAGGGTGCTTAGTGGGCTGGGTGCTGGGCTGGGGGTGGGCCGCTGGTTCGGGAACACAGCTATTTTTGCCTCCAGGGTTGGTTTGGTGGGCCCAGGGAGGTTCAGGGCTGCCCACATCCCAGCCTTCCTGGCAACATCCTGGGAGGCAACAGGCGTTTGCCATGGAAACGGATGACGTCAAAGATCTCCAGTCACTGGCAGAGAGACAAAAGATCAGCTTTCCCTTTGAAGCCAAACACAGGTGGGGGTGGGTGGGGGGGAAATCTCTGAAGACTCCCTCTGCTGGAGGAAGGGAACTGGGGATATATGGCCTGAAGAAGAGAAGATTTGGGGGCGAAAAGTGGAATGGCCTTCACAATTAGCTAATTAGATCTTGGGTTGCATTATTAAGAGAGGCAGAGTGTCTTGGATGAAGGCCAGGACTGTTCCCCTGCCCTCTGCCCTGGGGAGACAACATCAAGAGTATCGTGTTCAGTTCCAGGGCCCCAGCTTTAGCGAGGACATTGGCAATCAGGTGCATGTCCAAAGGAGGTCACTCCTGATGGTGAGGGGGCATAGAGCATTCAAGGCTCAGCTGAAGAAACCCAGAGAAGAGAAGACCAGAGGACGACAGGTTCTTTACTACCTATCTTCAAGTATTTGAAAGGCTATCACACAGAAGAAAGAGTAGGTTTACTCTGCTTGGCCCTTGAGGTCAGAAAAAGAAAGTTATATAGGGGCAAAGTGCAACTCAGGGTAAGAAAAAACCAGAGTTGTCCCAAAGTGAAAAGGGATATCCCAATAGCTGGTGGGCACCTCCTTTTATAGGAGGCCTTCAAGGAAAGGCAGAATTGGCCCTGGTCAGGGATTTGTACAGTCAATCCCTGCTCAGGCCCAGGCTGGACCAGATGCCCTTTGAGGTTCCTTACAACTCACTCCATCATCTCTGAAATTCTGTGATCCATGAACCAACAAAAAATAGTCCAAGAAGGTTATTCTCAATAAACTCCAATGGCTATCAAATACAATTACAAATGCATTTCTGCTAGGACCAAACTCCTCTATTTGACATTTAATGCCCTTCTTCACACATTGGTTCCTAGGTATCCTTTCAGACTTATTATACATTACTCTCCATTATAGCCAAAGGGGCTTTCTTGTCATACTTCCTACATAACATTCAATCCCCCACATTGTGTACCTTTGCCCCGGTTGTCCCCCCTATCTTGAATGGCCTTCTTCCTCACCCATACCTCTTAGGATCCCTAGCTTCCTCCAAAGCTCAGCTCAGATGCCTAGAGGAGGCCTTTTCAGATACCACCAGTTAGTGGCTCCTCTAAATCATCTTATATTTATTTCATAGATACCTATAAATGTACTTCTTGTTTTCCCAAAAAAAGAATGTAAGCTCCCTGAGGGCAGGGACTGGTTTCTCTTGTGCTTCCCCTTCCCCCCAAAATAACAATCCTTTTGCAGAGATCTGATGATACCTCTCCTCTGCTCAAAAGTCCTCAGTACCTCTCTAATGCAGACAGTTAAATTCACATTTTTGGGGCACTCTGGAGTAGGACCTGACACATAGTAGGCACTTCATAAATGATTGTTCACTGACTGATTTTTTCTTTATGTCTTCAGGAGGCAAAACTTTTAGGTGTGTGACCCTGGGCAAGTCATTTAAACAATTTGCCCTTCAGTTTCTATCTCCTGCTAGGCACATCCTAAAATAAGTCTGTTTCAAAAATAAAGATAACAATGCCCATACTTCCTACTTCAATGATGGTGAGGTAAATGCTTTGTAAATCTTGAACTGCTGGAGAAATAGGAACTATAATTATAATGAGGAGTGCTGGAGGAAGAAAAGTCACCAGGAGACAGATTTCAGCTCCAGTATAAGGAAAACAATCAGAGCAGGCGACAATAGAATCAGCTGCCTCAGAAGGTAGTGAGCTCCCTGTCACTGGGGATGTTCAGATAGGGAATGGAGATCTCCCCATCAGGAATGTTGCAGAGGCAGTTTCTGGATTTAAATAGATATGCCCATAGAGGCTTCTTCCAGTTCTCCTTAATTTTTAACTAATGGGGCCTGAATTAATGAAGTTTTGCAGTTTACAAAGTAGGTACCTTCTTTTCTGGACCCTCTCCTCTCCTCCCTTCCCTACATGTCCACTCCCGTTCAAAAATTGACAAGACTCTATTTTTTTTTTGGGGGGGTGAGGCAATACGGGGCTAAGTAACTTGCCCAGGGTCACA